CTTAGAAAGGCTGATTTGGAAGTAGAATTGGAGAAATTTGGTTTAAATGCAACTGGCACCGTGGATGAAATGAGAAAACGTTTAGCCAAATTCATCAAGGATGGTCGAACACCGCAACTACAGCTGAAACCGACGCCGTTCATATTTCCAACCGTTGTTACCCAAAATCCTGTAACAAGTCCTATCAATTATAACCCTCCGAATTCCCCTCAGCTTTCTCTTTCACAATCACCTCCACGTCATGACCGTACTGATTTTACGATCCATCACCGACAAGATTTACGTTTAGACCGATGGCGTATCAGTTTCGAAGGATTATACGATGATGCCGTTGCATTCTTCGAGAAAATAGAAGAAACATGCACCGCCCAGGGAATCCCGTTAGACGATTTACTTCCTAGAATGCCCGAACTTCTACGCAATGAAGCTGCGTTGTGGTACCGAAATAACCGACGGTTTTGGAGAAATTGGAAACAATTTTCCGAAGATTTTAAAACAATGTATTTTCCCGTAAATTATCAAGACGACTTGGAGACAGAAATTGCCAGACGCATACAACGCCCAAATGAACCATTGGGGTTGTATATCACCGAAATGCAGACGTTAATCCGAAGACATGGTAATATATCACCCGCAAGTGAGCTGCAATGGCTCTACCGCAACCTACTCCCACATTATCGTCAATTTATCCGAAAAACTGACTTTAATGATATCCACGGTTTTATGAAAATAGTTCGAGAATACGAACAAATTAATTTAGAATTAACACCCCATCACGTCGCCGATGTCTTTCAAAAATACCCCGTCACATTTCATTCCGACCCCAAGTAATCAAACTCCCGAAATAAGAAGAAATCAAAAATTCAATCAAGGAATAAATCGAACTTCGAATTTTAATCAAACCCCGGTCCAGTCATCTTCATATCACGAACCGCGAAGAATAGAAGCAAGACCAACACCGAAAACCGAAAATCGACAATCAACAAGTGGTACGATTCCCCGAACAAACAACACCAGAACAGAGTCCTATGTGTTGGAGATGCGGAGAAACTGGACACTATCGACAACAATGCACTGGGCAACCGAAACTCTTTTGTTCCAGATGCAAGAAACCAGGAGTCCTCTCTAGAAATTACCCGTGTAATCGTTCACCGACATCACCCGTGTCTTTAACATCGCCAGATGTGCGACCACACGTGCATGTCCGAATTTTAGGAAGAAAATTTTCGGCTTTAATCGACACTGGAGCTGTTCATTCAAACATTGGAGATAACATAAATCGCCGGTGTCAAGAGACGAATCAACAACGAATGATATCACCAGTCGCGACAGCCCGTTTTGCAAATGGGATAACCACGAGAATTCCGTTTGCATACCGATTAAAAATGGACATCGCCGGAGTAAAAACCATCGCTACCCTGCCATATCTACCACAATTAACGGCGGATATGATAATAGGAATGGACTTAATACACCGAGAAAAGTTTTGTTTAGATTTTAACAAACAAATCCATACCGTCCATAGCCGGAAAATAGCGTTTTTAAATTCCGAATGCAGCACCGTTGGAAGTCTTTGTATCACCGATAAGACCGATAAGATGTCTCAAAATAAGATTACCAGTCCCGAGTCAACCGAAACAGAAGACCGAAGATTAACAGAATTCTTACGAAAACAGTTACCAAGATTTAAAGAAATCCAGGGGACAACACCGATGATAGAACATAAAATTAAATTATTGGATCCCGAACAAATTAAACAACGTTACCGGCCCCAAAATCCGTATATACAAGAAATAATTGATACGGAAGTAGATCAGATGCTAAAGGAAAATATCATCGAACCGTCAAAAAGTCCGTGGAGTTCACCAATTGTAATGGTCCAGAAGAAAGATGGCAAATATCGATTTTGTGTCGATTTCCGAAAAGTAAATTCAGTCACGAGAAAGGACGCATATTCCGTAGAAGTACCGAAAGCTTTATACCGATCAGCCGAACCAAATTCCGATAACCCAACTGAAGAGAAAATGAACACCGACCGAACACCACAAATTAACCGAAATTTGCCGCTAAACTAGCTCCAAAGTATTCCGGTCCTTATATAATATCCCGCATACTGTCCCCTGTTGTATATGAATTACAAACTCCCCGTGGAAAAAAATCTTTCCGAACTTATATAAAAGCATTAAACCGAATATTTCTCGAGTAGATGCTGAAACCGAGGATAGAAGTATCTGAAAGGATAGCCGCAAGAGACCCAGCGATCGACCGCCAAAACCGTGAGCAAGGACTGAGGGAACGTAGGGAGAGGGTGAAACAGCTCGCCGAAGAATTGGCCAAGCGTATACAAGAAAACAAGAAAAGACGAGTTATCCCTCCCTGCAACATCCTTCAGTCTGCGCTNGACCCAGCGATCGACCGCCAAAACCGTGAGCAAGGACTGAGGGAACGTAGGGAGAGGGTGAAACAGCTCGCCGAAGAATTGGCCAAGCGTATACAAGAAAACAAGAAAGACGAGTTATCCCTCCCTGCAACATCCTTCAGTCTGCGCTCGTACCGACCGATCCGACACCGAACACCCCACAACCGATCACCGAAACACCGACTTCCGATGAATTCGAAGAGGCATTTGAGCAGGCTATAAGCCGGGCGGAGGAATTCATGAAGAGCAAAAAGGGAAGAGCAGAGGAACTACCATCCGAGGCGGAGATTCCGATAACCGAAGCGGATCTTGCAGAGGATGTTCTCCGGAAGAAAGAATTATCCCCGGAGGAGAGAATGGCCCTGCAACGATTTCGTCCGACGGGATATACGGGCCGAGTCCGCCATAAAATCAAGACCCGCGATGGTAGAACCGTGAGAATTACCCTTCCGCCCGAAAAGTAATTTTTTTTTCCTCTCTTATCTGTCCGAACCGTCCATATAACCGTATATACCGTCCTTTAATCCCGTTTAATTTTCATTGGTATTAAATTTCGTTTCTTTTTTCTCTCCAAACTAGATGAGCATTAGTGACTCATGTGACATCATTTCTTTGGGGTCAACCGATGATTTTGACATGGAGGAAGGAATGGAAATGGATGGATATGGAAAACCAGAATATCGCCGCCGAGGAGTTCCCGGAAATCCACGAGGGCCTACTGGTGCCTATCCGAAATATTACCGTTAA